GCCAAGAGATTTACTTAGAATTACAAACACTCTTTTTAGCTGAACCACTTTTACAGTAAAAATAATTCTCATGTTAATTTAACTCTGTTATTTTAAAGTACAGAATTAATGCAATAATAATAACCCACTAGGAAAACGTAATAACCTTGTAAAAGATTTTCTGGTTTGAGAGAATTTCGGAATGAATACCAGCGCCCATAACCCGAATAAATGTTCACGGCTGGGTACTTAGGTTACTTCTGTTGCTGGCTTCAAGGTGAAACACAATTTACATAGTCTCGAATTTACTAACTTAATGTTCTGTATCAGGGGAACAATGGAACCACGTTTATGATTTCTCTCCATAATTAAATTTTGTTTTATTACAACATGACTTCAACTGCACGTAAGTGCGGGCAAGTGAGCCGTTAGAGACGATAAAGTAATTAAATGCATTTACTTTGTTATAGGTGCATTTTCAAGTTACTTACTTTTTATACATCAGCAGTCCCTGAAGTAAATCACGTGAATATGAGATAACCGACTGCAGGAGTTGAGGATGTGGGGGAGGGGTGAAGGAGGAAGGAAAACTAAGCGCAAATAAAACGGAGTAGACGATAGCTTCTGGAATGTAAACATACTCTCTCCAACTTATTATTAACGTACAGGTTAGTCTAAACGTGACCATCCTAGACTTGTATGTGGTAGGAGCTCGGTTCGAGTCTCGGTCGTGAAACCGAGTATCATAACTCAGCATATGCCAGTCAATTTGATCACGACCACATTGTTGCAAAGCCTTTCCAAATCATGTCTTTCCGTCACTTTACGGTGTACAGTCTCGTTACTGCAAGCGTCTTTACTTAATCTCCAAAAAAATGTTATATTCTCAGACCAGATGTGTTCAAGATGTAAATGTATTTCGTGATTTTCTATCGTTATATTACAGCAGAGTGAAGCTGAGTAATGCTTTCAACAGGCATAGATGTATGATATAACTTCATGAAACAGAATAAATATTCAGAAGCTGATAGTTGTTCAGTTGGTGCATTATCGTGTTCAGAAGAGCCTGTGACTGGATCCTCCCCTGGGCCAGTTGAGTACAATCTTTTTTTTTTTTAAGTCCACTATGCGCTGTGTTTCTGCCTGATCCTTTGCATGAACCTGTGTACGTAAGATGGATAGACGGGTTTGTGAATGTATGTGGTGACGTAATTGGATAAGTAATTACTTACCATGCATGTTTTTAAAAAATAAAATACGTCTTTCCATTGGTCGATGGCTGGTCGGTTGCTGTCTCATGATAGCTGTGGTCACACATTTTCAATTTTTTAGCTTGCTTTCCATATTTTGAAAAAACAGAAGTAGGCTTATGAGATCGCCTTGATGTCTGCGTGTCTGTGTATCTCCCTATTAACTTTTGAAAGCTTGAACCAGTTTTTATGAAACTTGGTATGTATATCATGACATCTGAACCAATCTCAACGGCGTATTTCAAAAACGCTGTCCATCAGTCTGTATGTCTGTATTTTATCCTTCCATCGTTGTTACGTAACGGCTTCGTAAATACGTTCCCAAGGCAAAGAATACACGCAAAAGTAGAAGAATTGTTTGACGCATCGTTTGTTAAGCGATCCGTGTCATGTCAAAGGAAAGTAGCGATTGGTTATTCCCAGAACGTCTTCTTGTCACATTAGCTTCAGTTACCAAATCAGTTCTTTATTGATTTTGTAGACTAACAGTTCAAGGTCGTTCCCAATAAGAAATCCGGCGCATTTAAATCTGTAGAATTTGATGGTCAGTCTATGGATTTGAGAAACGTACCTGTCTTTTGATAAACACACTTCAATTTGTTCTGCACAAAACAAAACAAAAAAACTCCGTGGCCTGTAGACCGCAAGCGAACTATACCGACAGAGCGACCACCGCTTGTCGGCGAAGTTAGTGCAAACTTTAGCGTATAGAGAGTGTCATGTGGTCAGCGCAACTGATCCCCACGGCCGTTAATTTCGGTTTTCTAGACCGTGTTTGCTCTGCACAACATATATTATTTCATTTGAATCCGTGGAACCATAGAATTTGTTAGTCTTGAACAGACGAGAAAAAAAATTCTAAGAGGGTACACAATTTTCATCTTTTAACTAAAATAATTTCCCATCTTTATTTTATTTTGAGACTTCTGTGAAAATTTCACTAAATACGAATAATCTCTAATTTCAGTGGGTCCCTATGTTCAGTTTATTGTAGGAACTGAATCCGATTCATTGGACAGATGCTGCTTTAGCAGTGGCATGAAGCGTTTAATTTAATCTTTGTATCTTACATTAGGTATCATTTGTACTCCAACGAAGCACTTATTATATTTATTACAGAGTTTAAACATATAGATTCTAAAGGGTTCTAATGATGGTGTATAACACACAGAATTACTGGGTTTTTGGACTTTTTCCATCGTCCGGTATTCTAGAGAATAGAAAACACGACGTTTAGGAAATTGGATGTGTTATTCAGTGATTGAGTTTAGCTCTTTCTAAGGGACACAACTGAGTATATGTCTTCTCCTCCTTTCACCTGAGGGCGGAAACAGATCAAGTTTCCGAAACGTCATTTTTTCTATTCTCTAGAACACCGCACGATGGAAAAAGTCCAAAACGAAATAATTCTATGAATTTCAGCGTTTGTTTGGAGTATCTGAAGATTTTCACAAAACTCGATTAATGTAGGGAGTAATTCATTCGACATTCGAAGTGAAAACTTCGTAAATATAACGTATTCAGCATTACCACTAAGCCAAGCTGCTTTGTACATATGTGTATTAGAAAACCTTTAGGCTAGGTCACGTCGTATTGGTATGAACCGCGGTAACGTAAGCCACAGTTTGACTGAGGGCACGACTGCCACGGTTCGCTTCTTCGCCACAGCTTTCAGGCGGTCTCCGCGGCTGTATCCAGCAGTACCGGGGTCAGAGGCCACCGTGAAGCTGGCAACAAACCTTCATTCATTTCCAGTGTTAATGAGTTAAGTTTTGACTCCATTCTCTTATTCACCTTCATAGCGTGGTGCTTAAAACATTGATAAATTAATTATTCAATAATTTCCTGGTTTTATTGCGTTAGTTGTAATCGTATTTTACTCTTATTTGTAGAGACCATAGTCTGGGTCATTCTGAGTCATAGAATGAATTTATGAGTTTCCTGAGGGGAATAACATCACGTGAAATCCAGTGGGAAGACGGAAGTTATGATAATAGGACCAATGCAATTTCCGAAGTAATTATAAACTTGCATACAAATCTCTGAAACATAGTGCTGCGAGGCCAGGGCAGATGTGACGTCATGTCTACGTTGTACTACAACAGTAACAGGGGAAAGGTCAAGACAAAAGTTGTAGCACAAACACTGTCTAAGTGCCTTGCAACTATTTAGAAAAACTCGTGATGTTTGTTTTCCTGCATGCAATGAAGACCAGTTCTGGTCCACTCAATCTCCTATCTAGTGGGTAGGCCACTGGAAACATTTGCGGCCTGGGGATGAAACTCATCAGTCACCTTCAGCTTGTGTCGATGTTAAGAAAGTGTGGAACTATGCCTTCAATGTCCATTGTCTTCAGGGTAGGGCTCTTGATTGAGCACAAAGAACGTTTTACTTTTCCCTTTGTATTCCTTCAGGTTGCAGAATTGGTTTATAAAAACACTTAACCGAATTACTTTTCACTTAATGTGTTGCTGTTTAAGTTAGAAACGTGAAATAAAAGCGAATAACAATTTGTCTTTTTTATGTATTAGCATATGGTCGTATAAAAACTGTGTTTCGATCTGATATGTCGCCATGGTGAAGCTTGTTATGAAATAATTTTACGGGGAGAAAAAGCTGGATAAGTCACAGCTGTGTCATTGTATTTATTGAACAGAAATTTTACGTGGAATATTTATTTATTGATTGATAAAAGTATATAAAAAATAAAGTTATCCCTGTACCAGGCCGTGAAGGCCCATAGGGCTGTGCGATGTTGTGGTTCCCACATTATCTAGACAATCGGCTCAAAGATGGTGGTAAGGTTGTCAGCCTTACGCGCCGGCCGCGCTTTACTCCCCAGGAAAATTATTTAATTAATTCCTGGTACTCATTTCTGTTAGAGGCTGAGTCGACCCCAGGGTCATAGTGTGGCCGGAAGGATTAGGTAAATTGAAAAAACATCCAATGACCTCATCGGGACTTGAACCCGCGACTTTCCAGCTTCTAGCATAGTTCCTCAGCGAACAATGTGGAAGGAATCCGTCGTGACCTAGTTTCAGGTACCCTCTCGGCATTTCCCTGGAGGGATAGAGGAATCTCACGAAGACTGTCAGCCACGAGAGTTGAACCTGGTACCTCACGTATACAATTTGAAAGCGTAACCACTTGAGCCAGACGGCGCGGCGTGTGGGGAATGGAGCTGCGTCTTTAGATGTGATGGCCTTCCAATGCGTCGTACTTATTTTATAAATATTAATAACATGATTAATTTAAATATTTCTGGTACATGTTATTGGTTCATGATTCAGTCACGGAAGTAAATCTAAAATTATTCGTGTACCCTAAAAACTAAATTTTCTGCACATTTATATGCGTAAGTACTTAGCAGTGGGGGCACGCGGTAGCATAGTTGGTTGAGGCACTATGCTACAAGTCGGAAGGACGCGGGATCGAATCCAGATGACGTGGATTTTTTCAATTTAGCTAATCCTTCCAGCTGCGCTATGGCCCTGGAGTCGACTCAGCCTCTAACAGAAATGAGTATCAGGAATTAATTAAATAAATTTCCTGGGGAGAAAAGCGAGGCCGGCGCATAAGGCTGACAACCTTACCGCCATCTTTGAGCCGATTGTCTAGATAATGTGGGACCCTCAACGTCTCACAACCCTATGGACCTTCATGGCCTGGTACAAGGATAGCTTTACTTGTTTTTTTATATATACTAAATTCCTGTTATCCTTTGTAAGTGGTCAATTATTTTTATTCAAGTTCCGCCATCTTGTTTCACAGGCACCATGCTGTGAGGCCGGGAGTTTACGAAGACTGGAATGAACCGCATCACGATGACTCTGTTGTGGTTGTTCCTCTTCTGCTGGCTCCATGGACGTCATGTGCAGGCTGATGAATGCACACAGTGAGTGAAATTGTGTTACTTTCCTTCACCCTAGCTTCAGAACAGAAACTGTAGCAAGTCTCTAGCTCTGCTTTACCTCGGAATTGAATTTTTGTAGTTATATTGAGTATTTCTAGAGAAAGGAATTGATGCGCATTGTTTTTATAATTTAATATTTTATATATATGAACTGAATTGTAGCTGGTAAAAATACAGCTTTTTGCTTGTGATATGAAAGGAGCTAATGAATGGAAGGGCTGGGGGGATGCATGAATTGCGAACAAGGGAGGCAGTGAAGCTAATGGCAGAGCCAGGGTGGGTAGATAACACGGAAGTGAGAATCATTAGTGTTGGTTACTGCAGCAGTCGCGAGCTGCGTTGTAGTAATGGCATGGCACGTGAATGGACAGCGTAATTGGTTACTTTCTACTGCAGAAATGCTGATTTACTGGTGAGCAACATTCCTTCCATAGCGCTTCGTATCTAGTCGATAGTAATGACGTAGCTATATTTATGGGGAAATCATTCTCTGTAGATAGATCAGTGTCTCATGACACATTCGTAAAATTATTTACATTATATTTGATAAAAGTTGAGTTAAATTTGTCTCTGTGTTTAACTAATTAAACACTACGTCATGAAGGCGTATGGGGGAGTGGATGTATAGAGCCACATTTTCTTGACATCGGTACTAGTTGGAGGTGAGTGGTGAGCTTCACGCCCCGGCCGTTTTACACCCGGGGAAAGAGCCCCGGTACCCATTGGATAGGAGGTTGGGTGAGCCCCAGAGTCAGTCTGGACGACGTGAAGAAGAGAAAATTCTTGACCTTACTGGGACTCGAACACCAACCCCTCTGTCGTTCAGCCCGTAGCCAGTCACTATCTCGGCTCCCTATATTATGTTCGATACTGGTGGCAATAAAATTCAAGATAAAACGCTATTTTATAAAAACTTGAAGGTTCGAAAATATTGCTTTAATTAAGGGTTTGACATTTTTTGGGCGTCTGTCAGCTCAACATTTATAGTATGGGTCAGACATTATTTCAATTTTATCCGTGTTGTTAGGAGTAGCCTACATATATTGTGATGATTATTACGATGACAAGAAGTTCGTGGAAGGCATAGAGATTATGTCCTCACTGGACGTGGGTCAGTACTCCACTGAAACTCGATCTGTGTTATACATTACAGCGAACAAATTGTCACGTGTCCGGTGTTCCGGAACAAATAATTGTGGGTTGCAGATTAGACGACACTGTTTATTGGATAATTCGTTTACACTCACTATTCCAGTCACTCTGAGATAACTTCTTCCAGACGATGCGACCCGACTAATCCGTCGTCTTTCACATTTCGTTGTCTGGTTCTCGGCTGAGCTGGTTTCTTCTATGATCTCATCTCCGCTCCGGTCTTCTCTTATCTCAAATCCGATCTGAGCTTCTCTGATCTGCCTTCAGATCTGATTTGGTCTGGTCTCTTATCTTCTACAGTCGGATGGACTGGAAGAACCTACTTGAAGGGTTTAACTTCCCGTGTTGGCTAGTGTATCATTTATTAGTTGCCACGGGAACATGTTTTCATTTTTAGGTAACACGTTAATTTTATCTCTAGCTGTTGGTTGTTGCGGGGACAACGCTTATTGAGCCATTGCACCAGCAATGGAAACGTGTTTCAACAAGCCGTTGTCCAGCAATGGACGCCCGCTCAGATATTCTGACTTTTAGGCGGCACGCCACAATATAGAGAACGTTCGGGAGAGAGGAGGCATCAACACTGTGGAATGCTTACTTATTTCGAAGTACGCTATATTTTCAACGAAGAGTGTGAACAACGTGAATCATTCAAGGATTTATATCAAACCTGATAAAAGTAGTCTTTAAACCGTGGTATGTTTTATTTTTTCCTTAAAAATATAAAAATTGTACGTTTTAATGTTATCTAAAATGCCCCCAAAAAGTCCGAAATCATGAAGGGAGTCTTTCTTCATTTTTAGGCCTATTTGTCTTCAAATTTTGTGTCCCCAAAACAAAAGTACTCTTCCGTGTAGTGTGTCGGGAAGCAAAATTCTAATGTCATTGAAGTGGAAAAAAAATGCCACGTCATATGTAGGGATGTGATAAATAATATATTATTATTAGCGGAAAAACTTTTTGAAAATTGTTTTTGTATCTTCATTCTTCACCCCTGTTCTTCATTACCTTTATCACGTTCATACACATTTCCCTCTTCTTACTTCCTCTCTTGAAATATCAAATTATATTACATCTTCATCCTTCACGTGGCACCGTTTTCAATATACATTTTCCATCTTTATTTGAAAAAAAAAAGCTGAAGAGGTTTGAGAAAGACTAAACACACATAGTCAGAAGGCACACACATGTAGAATTAAACCGCGTCCTGTTTTATATACATATATGATAAATTATTTTAAAATGTAACGTTGCTTTTAAATTTTGTATTTTTGTTGTTATTGGTTAAGTCTACGAAGTATCTTGAATGCACACGGCAAGCAGTTTGGAATTGACAAAAACAAAAACAAGAACTTCTAAAAAGAAATTACGAAGACTGATTTCCTTCAGGTGGTCAAACTTTCAGACATATCATTTAATAATGTTAAACATGGAGTTGCATTTGAACTAGAAATTCTGCCAGTTGATGAATATTAATGAGCATTAATGATCATTGTTTCTTACAATTTCTATAGTATTATTGTTTATCATTGATATTTCCTTTCACTTATCTTTACCATTTTATATTAATTTCATATTTTGTAGGCCTACTTCTCGTTACTTTGGTGCCACTGGTTCCTTTTATTTCTTTACCCTCTTACAAAATCTCTTTTATCTTTTCTTGCTATTAATACATTTTCTTGTTATGTGCCTGCATTCGCAACTCGTTTGCATTATAACAGTTTATTCCAAACTTTCTTTGCCTTGAAGAAAGCAGTTTTCTGGGATTTGGCACCGTGTATGTGTGGTGTTAACCGACGTTTCGGAGGAACGTATCGCCTCCATCTTCAAGATAGAAGAAAAAATAAGAAATCTGCAAGCGAAGAGACCGTGAGAACCAGTAAAAGCAGACTGTGTTGGAAATATACACAGCTATGTGCCTCACATTTCCAACACAGTCTGCTTTTACTGGTTCTCACGGTCTCTTCGCTTGCAGATTTCTTATTTTTTCTTCTATCTTGAAGATGGAGGCGATACGTTCCTCCGAAACGTCGGTTAACACCACATATACACGGTGCCAAATCCCAGAAGACTGCTTTCTTCATAGTCACCGCCGTGAAAGCCTCAAATCTTATATATTTCTTTGCCTTGTATTGTAATTCGACAAACAACACAAGTGCCCCCTCTTACTCTATCGAAATTTTCTGGTCAGAAGCCTGCTATCAAACTTCCCCAAGCCACGCATTTCCCACAGACATTGCTGTTTAAGTCCTATTAATACATAACCTTTTGAAGACATTTGATAAAACATCTATGACAGTTCCCCTAAAACCGACAAACAAATAGAGGACTTAACAATTATTATTGGAACACTACAGAATACGTGTTGTGTGAATTCTGTCGCTCGTTCTTTCAGAAGACTTACTGTTGCTGCAGTTCTGCTGTATCAGAGACACGCGCAATACGAATGTTACACACCCCAGCCATTCCTGTTTCTACACTCATTTGCTTTCCCTTGTGTTGGACTAATTTCCATCGCATTGTTGCCTCGTGCTGCCGCCAGGGGGGGTAGAGACAAAGGGAAACAGTTTATTATGTGCACTATGTAGGTCCAGGCCTCTTTATTTCATACGCTCAGGTTTTATATATGAGGTGAAGGTGGGAAGCATGGTGGGTAGTTCAATTTACACGTACAATCATATCCAATAACCAACTGCCAGCGTGTGTGTGTGTTTACCCTGAAATATTTCTGGAATATTCGAGTTAAGAACTTTTTTCGTGCTATTCTTTTTGTGTATGGTGATAAAGGTTTCTATACCCCAGAGCATGCTTTTTCTTTCTCATTACCTGACCCTCAATTTATATTCATTTGACTTCAGCCAAGTTATTTTATCTGCCCTGTCTGAAATGTCAAAACAGGTAAAATATTGTAATTTCCTGTGGTAATAAAAGAATCGCCGGTCACGGTAGCCGAGCGGTCTAAGGCACGTACTGTCCTCGCTCGCTTGGAAACCGGGATCGTGGGTTCGAATTCCACCCAGGGCATGGATGTTTAGTTTGTGTGTGTGCGTTTTTCTGTGTGTGTGTACAGGTAGAGGCCTTGCGACGAGCTGATCACCCGCCCAGGGAGTCCTACCGAATGTGTAGGATCTAGAAAAACCGAAGTGAACGGAAAAGTTCATGGAGGTAGGCCTAGGCCCACTGGGGCTGTAGTGCCAAGGAAAAGAAATAAATAAAAGGATGCGATTTCTTCTTCTCGACTGGAATTAGAGTCTGAGACCTGAAGGCGGACGATGGGAGTAAGAACAGCAGCGAAGCTCCATAACCACCGCTGGGAAAACAGCAAATTCTAAATAATAATGTGTGATTATATTTTATTTGACAAGATATTAAATAATTGGATTCAATAATAGTTCCAATTTGGGGGGACAGTCGCCTTAATTACATAACACACACTCTCTTTTTCAGATCGAATATAATCAATTTTAGCAATTTTCAAAATGTAAAATTTAAGCTGCATCTTTCATTCAAACATACACAAGCGCAAGAAGAAAGCAGTCTTCTGGCATGTGGCGCAGTGTATATATTGTGTTAACCGACGTTTCGGAGGAACGTATCGTCTCCATCTTCAGCGTAGAAGAAAAGAGAAGGAAATCCGCGAGCGAGGAACCAGCGATAGCAGGTGATAACAGACTAATAGTCTGTTCACCTACTAACGCTGGTTCCTCGTTCGCGAATTTCCTTCTCAAATCTTATATACACAAACACAGTTTTCCAGTCTCTGTTTCAGTTCCCAGAACTAGTAATGCGAGAAAATGAACCATCTAATATAGATTACTGTTTCAGGGATG